CATGGCAGACATGATAATGGCAAATACGACTTTTGTTCGATTTGGCAAAACGTTTGTGGATGAGACGCACGATTACCACTAAAGACGAAAAAGGCGGGTTAATGGAAATAGCAAGAGTTTACAAAATCCGAAATACGTACCGCAGCCTCGACCTGCCTAACGCGTCGGGATTAAGGCGGGATAGGTTGCGGGTCAGGGGAACGGAGGGTTTAAGGCTATCCAGTGCTCGGGAAGTCACCGCAAGTGCGGGTGCCTGTGCGTTAGCGATAGGACAGGTTGCAACTGGTTCGTCAAAGGAAGTCACTTCCAGGCGGTCCATGGACAACGTAATCCCGTGACCATTCTGGTCTAAAGTGAAGTGTTTCGGAGTCCGTTGCAGGACTCTGGGAGGGCCAATGTAGAGAGGCCGCAGGCGGCCCCGCACTGCGTCGACGCGGCGGAAGACGTGAGTGCTGGTAGACAGGCGCTGTGCGTTTGCCCATCTCTACTCGGTTCACGGTGTGGCATCGAGCGTAGTGTACTCATATGTTCAGCTAGGAAGGACGCAAAGTTAGGCGGAGGCATATCCCACGGTGCGGGAGAGGAAACGAATTCTCCTGGCAACTTTAGCTATGTGCCGTAAATTAGCTCTGTTGGGGCACATTGCACGTCAGCGTCGATGCTGCTGCGAATGCATAAGAGTACGTGTGAAACAGTGTTGCCCCAGCTATGGTCGGAGGAAGCGCAGTGCGAAGCTTTAAGATGTCGATGGAAGCGGTCACCTAACTCGTTGGCGGCTGGGTGTTATGCTGTGGTATGAATGCGGCGGCAGGCGAAAATGTTGTATCAAGTATCTAATCGTAAAGATTCAAAAGGCTTTCCTCGAGCATTTGTAATGGTGAAGGGGCATCCGTAGTGCAAGGCCCAAATGTCTAAGTAGGCCCTGATAACAGTCTCAGCTGTACAGTCTGTTACGGGAATGGCGTCCGGCAACCTAGTGAAGCGGTCGTAAAACTTAAGAATGTATACCAATCCGAGCGACGGAGGCAAGAAAACTGCCAGTTCTACGTGTACATGCGACAACCGCGAGTCCGGAGCTGGAAAGGAACCAAGCGGACTGCTGGTGTGACCATGTATTTTGGGGCGCTGGCATTGAGAGAAGGTGCGAGCCCAGGATCGAACATCTTTGTGTACGAGTGGTCATACGAAACGTTCGGTGACCAGTTTCAAAGATTACGGATACCGGGATGTGATAGGGAGTGTGGTGCGTCAAGGACTGCGTCTGAAGGAGACTGGCACCAAGGTTCTAGGACAATCTGTGAAAGTGTCACAGAGAATGATCCCTTCCTTGGTTTGGTAAGGAACTGGTTGCGCATGTAACGAAGTGGATTGTAGGGTAAAATGGATGTTTTCTTCTTTGGCCTGAGACGGTAGGCAAAGAGTGGAGATTGATGTTAGCGCGTGAGGGAACGTCTAAGACAGGACTGTCGACAACTGAGACATGACGTATGTCAGCATTGAACTGCTTGACAAAGTCTAGGTGTCTTGTTTCCACTTTCTGAATAACCGTCGCATCCGAGTCGTAAGCAACGAAGGGCTTGCGTTTAGTGTAGACCTTCAAAGCGCGGCCTTCGAATGTGCGCCGGAACTGACGCAGGGCTAAGTAAACAGCAAGCTGCTCTCTGCGAAACGTGCCGTAGTGGGATTCTGCTGGCTGCAGGCGCTTGGAGGAGAAGCCAATGGGTTGCCAATGCCCAACAACTTGTGGTTGGAAGACGGCCTCTTCTGCGACGTCTGAGACATCAGCCGTACTAGAGAAGCATGCAGTTGATTCTTAGTTACCGAGGAGGGCTAGTTTGGAGAAAGCATCCTTGAGCCCGGTGAAGGTTGTCTGTGCTGTGACCGGGAAAGCGAACCTAGGTTCTTTCCATCGGAGTAGGTCTGTCAAAGGCTGCCTGAGTTGAGCGCAGCGTGGAATGAAGTCTCGTTAATAGTTGACCAAACCACAAAATCGACGGAGGTGCTTGAACGATGTCGGAAATGGAAGTGCTTCATTGTCTGGATATTATCAGGAAGGATTTCTACACCAGACGGTAAAACGAGGTGGCATTGTAATTCTAACGTTGGTTTTCGAGTTCGCACTTAGTCGGGTTGAGGCCGATACCGTGTTGGGCAAGCGCTGAAAGAGAGTTTGCAAATGCTCGAAATGCTCTAGTTCCGATGAACTGGCTACTAAACTATCATCGGGGTGGTAGTGAGCGAAGTCTAGACCACGAGTGTCATCGTGGGTGAAGTGTTGGAAGGTTTGCGCGGCGTTGTACAGTCCAAATGGCATTTTAAAAAATTCGAACAATCCGAAAGAAGAGATAGATGTTGTTTTAGAAATGTCACTTGTCTACAGGTATCTGGTGATAGGCGCGAACCCGATCGAACTTGCTGAAGGTGGTCTTACCTGTGCAACATGCGTGAAGGTCTTGTATGTGGGCATGGGATACCTAGCTGGGGCGGTTAGCCGATTGCGTACGCGGTAACCACCGCAAGGGCGCCAATCACAAGATTTCTTGTGGACCATCTGCATGGTTGAGGGCAAAGTGCTGTCAGAAGGGCGGATTATTCCTAGTTCTAGCCTTGCTGAAACTCCGCACTAGCCACATTTAGTTTCTCAGGCCATAGTCGGCGTGTACTGCATGAAACGGGGAGGGCCATTTATCCGTATGTTGTGCGTGAATTGAAATGTCGCCGACAATTCAGCCTTCGTTAGCCGAACGAGCTTGGAGTACTGAGGAAAGAGGTTGGCGTAGTATGGTGAGGTCTGGGGAAATGCATAGACCGGTGTTATATAGGCGATAGCGACGGTGGTGTCACGTACACTGAGTTTCTCTGCAGCCTAGGCTATCATCTGGCGTTCTGCATCGAAGAAATAGTCGAAATGCCTGAGAAAGTCAATGCCGATTATGGCAAACGGGACTGCAGCGAAGGTGACTACACAGCGGAACATGCGACGAAGTCCTAGGTTCAGGGTAAGCGACCGATGGTCGTAGGTAGCTATTGGCGTGCGATTGGCTGCACTGAGGCTCGTCGACAAAGAAGCGATAGGCTTAGCTGGCATACAGGGATGACACTGACTTCCGTCCCGGTAGCAACGGAGAACTGGGTCTGGGAATAATGATAAATAATGCAGATTAAAGGACCTTGGGCTTTGCCGACGTCCTTGGCTAATACAGACAGGTGTGGCGGATCATCTACAGCGGAATAGCTACACGACTGTACGCACGTACGGGCTTTATTACAGAAACGCGAGAGGTAAAAGCAGTAACCAGTAGCATCAGGTTCTGTGCGACGGGGTGATGATTCAGAGCGTTTGCGGTACTTACGGTTTAAGGTAAGTTCATCGATCTGGCGCTGAAGCTGGACCATCTGCGTTGTTAATGCGCTTATTGTCGATGGCTGGTTAGTCGCCTTGGTCGGTGTGGTTGCGCCAGCAAAAAGCTGCCTGGGTGCTTTGGTTTTAGTCCTTGGCATGTGCCGTTCGATGACGCGGTCTGCTGGATCTGCAATTGCTGTGAGTGGCAGGTCATTTGCTACCACATGGATAGCCTGTGTGCGTTCAGGAAGGAGTTGCATCCATGGCCCACTGGGAATCGCTGCGCCCATGTTGGACGGGTTATTATGTAAAGTAACGTAATACAACTGTTTATTGCTAGCAAATGGAACAACGTACGTTCATTTAAGCAAGGTATACTCTCATGGTTTATTACTTAAATGTAAGTTTTGGCGCTACAGGCCGGTGGAACACTGCTGTACATGTGGGCCTCAACCAAACGTTGTGTTCCTGCCACCCAGGAACTCTCTATTCCCCCAGTTCCAAGCGCAGCATATGCGCGAGTTAATTTCTTAACCAAAGTTGGGTGCGAGCTAGTGGAAGGAAGGTGGAAAGTACATCAATGTGACAGAACGCGGTACAGAACTAAGTACGACGGAAGAACAGCACAACGAATACGAACAGTCAACGGGCACTCAGAGTCGCAGTACCAAACGCTCGACTCAGAGAACAAACAGGCGTTGGACAAGAACGTTCATTCCGAAATCACGGAAGAGATCAAGTCCTATATACGTGTCTATACATACAAGCGATGCGCAATACAACGAAGCAAAACGAAAGGTATAAATTGACAACAGTTCAAGGAATGTTCGGTTCATGGACGCTAACTAGCATAAGCTAAATCGGAAATAAAGGAAGCACTTCCCATAAGCAAGCCAGTGCGGTCTCTATTGCATTTTAAACGACTTACTAGACGAACAACCAAATTCATTCGGCAGCCCTACCGATGACTTTTAACAGCATAAGGCGAGGAAGTTATTAAATGTATCTGAATTTTTGGAGAAATTAATTTTATACGTATCTGAGTACTATTTGTTGAGCATCCACAAGGCAAAGAGCCTTTTCGTCTGCATCTGTGTTCTCTACATGTATTCGTAGGAATCACCTTGTTTAAATTTTACTGCTAAATCGTTGTACTAGGCACCTGGGTAATGTTGTGGAAGCTTACAAATAACTACTCTAAGTCAACACATCTGGAAGCGTGTCTTATCAGATGTAACCTTATAACGTGTACACAAATTTTATTTAAGGCAGCTTTTTATTTACATTGACTGATTATAAATATAAACTGGACAATTTTGAAGACAAAATAATAAGTAATGCAATGCATGCCATTTGAGAAACAATGGTGCCTGGATAGGCTCAACCAATCTTACTTTTTATGATCTAATTTGTCTACTACAGGTAAGAAGATAAAAGGGAAACTGGATCCTTCGCCCTATATTTCAATTTATGCATTTCCTGTTCACTTTAAAAGCCGCATCCTAGCAGTTAAAAGAATAAGAAAAGCTATACAAACTTAACTTTAGTCATAATTTTGGGGTATCCTTGAAATTTACTAACACCTCAATATTTTTCCATTAGATTGTTTATTCTAGTAATTTTTCAAGGTGTTAAAAATTTAAGAGCCGTTGCTGTTATGGATATCATGATGGCTTTCCGTGCACACATTTTACCGATCATAGCAGTAGGTTTTTCGCCGTTTTATTTACATGTGCATTTATTTCGGTTATGATTTGTATTTAAAGTTTAAACTAGCTACACCTCATACATTTTCCACATGTGGTAAATGTCATCTAGTAATGGAAATTATTTACGACTATTATATCAAAAATCAGAGAAGTACATGCTAAAGGCCACCGGTGCAGTCAAATTGAATGGTAATGAAAAACAAATATGACCAAGCGCCTTTGTTGTGAGCGTGGTTACAAAACTATAAGTGGTACTGTAGGCAATGATTCGGACAAATACTACCGGAAACTGTTAGGTGACTCATATAACGGGGGTTAGTTTGATTTAAACCGTTTTGCTTTTGCTACTATACCTATTTATGGTGTAGTAGCCTTATCAACTTTATGATACTTTTCTTATCAGAAACCTTTGTCTTTATGCTTTCTGTTTAACTTTTAATTTTTTTATGTTGCACATAAACTTCTATACCTGGTTAATTATATTGTTCGTGATTAAAGCTACCATATTTACCTTTGGACTAGGCCAAAGAATGCGACGTTTGCTGTGTTTGATATGCATTTAAGTCGGATTCACATTTGAGAACTGGGAAATCAGTGTGTCCTGAATACACACCAAGGTACTTTGGAAACCATGCTGTGTAAACGCACATTAAATACGTTTGGCGGCCATTTGTCCCACATTCCTTAGACCTAAGTGGAAGCGTGTGTGTCTCCGTGTACTTAATTAAATGCAAAATTAGACCTTTTTGTATAAGAATATTTCTGGAACTCTGAATGATTACCGTCTCATTTTGGCTAGTAGCAAGGACAGTCAGCATTGCAAAGGGACAAAGCAAAACTGCGCGCTATCCATAAAAGTCCATGTCGAAACAAGCAAGCTTTCTGTTCATTGAAACCGGAAGCTGTCGATAAGTTTAGAAACCACTGAGCGTTATTTCGCCGTTTAATCGGAACGGGCAGCTAGTCGCCTAGGTTCAGTAATGCTTTATGCAACAATAGAAGACACCCCATGTACAACTTATGAAAATGCTTAAGGCGATTAATTCAGCATTTATAAAACAAGTTTGTCACCCGGACCAATAAATAAATAATAAAATAATAATGTGTCAGCTGTACGCCGTAAAGCCACTTTGCTGCCGCGCGCGGGCTGAGTATAACGCCAGGACGCACACCCCTACTCGAATTCGAACCGGTAACCTTATGGTTGCAAAGCAAACGTGCAGACCACTCGGCCACCGGCCGACACTCGGCCACCTGCCGACTGCCTGTCTTCCATGAACTGACTTTTCCATTAACCCTCACTAGCAGAAAGAAAGCAATAGGATCTGTAACTTGAAATAGGTTAATGGCTGCTCGGACGTAAATAAACTACTACAGCCCACTAGACGTACGGAAAGCCTCTTTTGTGGGGGCATAACTCAATTTATTAGTGGACCTTTGTTAGCAGCAAACTGTTCTTATAATGTGGAGAGGATTTTCATAGCTGGGATTTATAAAACCGCGTTTTGTTTAGTATGCGGCTACAACAAATGTACTTATATATAACCTACCTTAATTCGTAGTTATCTGCTCTCCCCGTCCAAATGAATGACTAGTGCGTGTCGACTGTAGTGCTTTGGAGCTCCATAAGTGAATAATTCTTTGCCCCTGGCCGTCTTAATAAAGCAGCTTTGGACGTCTGTTGGTCAATCAGAACGTTCTTCGTCAACACTCCTTTAACACATACCACAACCATATATTTTTTGGTTGTAGCTGCCATCAACATTAAGACGAAATTGCTTCCCAAATTGTAACTACGCTATATAATGGCCATCAGTCTAAACCATATCTTTGAGTGCCGGAAATTCGCCATACATGAACAGATTTAAAATGACGTCTGTTCTCTCGGAATATGTTTCTTAAGATGCCCTTAATATGTTTCGTACCTAATCTTATTTGTTTGCGTACAACATTAATGTTAGCGAAAATCCATTCCTAATTTATATGTGCATGTTACGATGGTCATTACTCTAATCCAAAAATATTTTTCAGTGATCAAAATTCGTTCAATAATTGTCTAATTGCGACGGTCAGATGCACGATTATTGTCACGCAGGTCACGCACTAGGTAATTCGCGCTAAATGAACTTAAAAATTTATCAAAACGTAAAGTCTTTTAGACTAAGCGACTTGCTAAAGCTTTATAATCAAATTTAACATCCTTTTTGGGCATATTACACTATATCTTTGCACAAGTATTTCCGGCCTCTGCAAATAACTAAAGCTCGCCCTTATGGAGTAGCTAACCAGCTTGCTGTGAGAACAGGGCAGGCTTTTCATCTGGCCAAGGCTAGCATCCGTGAACACCGGGTTTGCAAAAACAACCTGTCCTTAGCCAAAATCAAGGCTACAATTCTTCGCATTGCTTTACCCGCCTAAAAACAAGTGCTCCTTTTATCAGCAAAACGCAGTGGTTTTCCTCGGGATCTAAGGCAGATTCCATTTGCCGACTCAAGGTACTTTTTGGACTATTTGATCAGCAAAGTCATGTACGACAATATTTGTACGTACCATATAAAGTAGTAACCAAGGGCGGTTTTTGTCGTTGAATTTGACGATTTATGGGTCTTTTGTTGCCCAACCTCGGTGTAGCCTGTTCAAACAGAGCTGACGTCAAACAATCCGATAAACTCAACAACCAGCGCTGGTTTTAGTGCAGAATCTGCTAATGTATAATGTGCAGTTTATCGCGTTTTGTAATAACGGTGCAGTATCTGAGAAATACAAAATTTTAAACGTGCCAAAAGTACGGTGTAGAGCAAGAAAGTTAGAGAGTTAGCAATCTTTCTTACTTTTGACGGATACAAAAGTATGATACCTTAAAAAATTACGTGTCAGCTGTACTCTAAAACAGCGCTTTGCTGCTGCGTGACCACGACAAGATTAAAAACAAAGTAGCGTCCATGACCCTGCGTATTATATGAAGTTAGCCCAGCTAAAATTGAAGCACTGGGACCATGATCCAGCCTCAAATAGGTAAATTGCGGTCTACTCACATTCTGTGCCTAATACGGACTGTGTAAATCATTTCAGTACAAAGTCCCTTAGGCTGCTGCATGGATGGGGATTCGCGCATTTTTAATATGTATCCCGATTAACCTTGGAGTAACTATTGCTGATGCTCATCATTTAAGCTGTATTCAACAAGCCTTTTAGACAACTGATCACTTTCACCTCTGCTATCCGCCATTACTTTGTTTCCTCCTCGAAATCACGAGTGTACACTGAGATTCTTCCCGGAAGGTTTAGGACGCAGCGGTTACCCGGCTAATGTATACTAACATCCAGCCACAACCATTCCAGGTTCAACTATAATAATCTGACTGGGTTGACAGGTAGATCGATATGTGCAGACCTCCTGGCAGGAGATCGAGGTCTTACTAAGGTACCTCGCAGTCGCCGGGGGTATTAATACTTCATCAAATCTTCAGGTCGACTACAAACACGGCAAAAAGACACGGAAGATGCTGCGGCACTTCGTTGATTATACAATAGCATCTACATATACACGGTAGAAACCCTGACTTGTTGATATTTAGTCCTAGATGTATCACAGTTAACACGTCATGACAGTATTCCGATTTCACACGCGGCCTTGTTGTATAAGCTGTTGACTAGTGGCGCTAGTTGCTAGCGTCACAACATTTAGGGCCGAATAAAAAGGGGACAACAACTGTGTCGAGTAAAATTGGGAATAGTAGCTAAAAGGAGATTGTCCATGAATTGCGCATAAGGTAAATTTTTAAAACAATCCTAAGGAAGCAGTTAGTCGGTTTTGTGTGCTTGAAAATCCAAACTGGCAACTGCCACTTTACTTTTCTTCTTGGTTACTGCGCAGGTTTTTGTACCTTCAGCAATCTTACTTTGAACGCGATATCACATCAACACAGCTGTAAAAGTATTTGTGCTCTCTGAATCTGTGTTTTGCGCTGTGTTCAGATTCAGTTATCAGGTTCCAGTCACTCGCCAATCCATGTAACCTTGGCAGATAGTGAACTCAGCAGAAGGATCGCGCGACCAAGCCGACCGCTCATTTGATCTTGTAACTATCACGCTCGCATGACTAATATGTGCTGCTTTCAAAGCTGGAAATTACAGAATGCTAACCAACCCACTTGGTCAGGTAACGGCACTACGTTGAATGGTAGGAATACTAATCCAAAAAGACTCCAAGCAAAAGGCATTTGCGGCTTAGGAACATATCCTCGATTACTTAAAATTGGTCTGGCTCGTTTGCACTGTTTGAAATGGTATCATCCAAAGTGTGCAAATGTGTCCCAACAACAGGTACGGAAGTAAACTAGCACCCAAGATGCACATTGGTTCTGTACTGCGTGCTCCTACCACCCACTCGTTAAGCGCCAGCTTATCCTAGCTCAGAAGTGCGACCGGGTAACAGCGGAAGCCGAGCAAAAGATAAACAATAAGATTATTTTAATAAAGCGAGTATGCACCACGGAAGAGTAACGGCTTCTAAGCAAAGGAATGCTGCACAATCCGCTTCCCCTGAAACGTAATCAGCCAAGTCTCCATCTCCGTTTTCTTATGTAACTTTGGTAGAACGCCAGGCGAAGAGTGCTCATACCTAAGCGTGTAAACAGTACCCATGACAAAGAAAATCAGACACCATTCAAAACGTATAGTTAAGTATATTTCAATAGACCTGATATCCAACCTCAACAAGGATAAAACAGCCAAACACCAACCCACGGTGCCTGTAACTCAAATGTTACTTGTCAAGGTAAACTTTCCGAAACATCAGTTACATATGCAGAGATTTCTGCAAAGGACAACCGGGAGGCCACCGTTGCGGCCTCTCCTGTTCTCAACTCCCTTAACGCAAACAGAGACAAACAATTAACACTTGTCAGCAGACCAGGTCAAACGAGTACCATACAATGTAGAGCAACAAAAACAGATTCAAGGTTGGTTCCCTGACTGTTGTTTGCTCAAATTA